TAAACCATAAATCCTAAACCCTAATTTCAAAACTCTAAAGCATAAACCCTAAATTTTAAAATCTAAACCTTAAATCCTAAACCCTCAACCCAAAACTCTAAACCACAAACTCTAAATCCCGAAATCTAAACCCTAAATCATAAATCCTAAACCAAAACTCTAAAGCACAAATCATAAATCCTAAATCCTAAATCTAAATCCTAAATCCTAAACACTTATCATAAACCATAAACCTAACAATCAATCCTAAACCCTTAACTCTAAATCCTAAATCTTAAACCCAAAACTCTAAACATAAACTCGAACCCTAAACAAGTGATGGGTTTAAGGTTTGGAGTTTAGAGTTTAGGGTTAAGGATTTAGTGTTTACGATTTAGAGTTTATATTTTAGGATTTAAGATTTAGGATTTATAGTTTTGGGTTTATAATTTATGATTTAGGGTTTAGATTTCAGGGTTTAGGATTTAGAGTTTTGAGTTTTGGATTTAGGGTTTAAATTTTAGGATTTACGGTTTATGGTGGTTTAGAGTTTTGGGTTTAGGATTTAGGATTTAGATTTTAGAATTTAGGGTCTATGATTTAGGGTTTAGGATATAGGATTTAGGTTCTATGATTTTTTATTTTAGGTTTTTAGAGTTTAGATTCGTGCGGACGACATTAATGTCAGTTTTGTTTTTTTTCTAGCTGTTTATCTTTTTAAAATTTATTTCCGTTTTTCTAATTAATCATACATAGCACTTTGGTTAGTTATAAAAAGTGAAGTGAAGTTAAGCATTCACCATAGAGGCTGAACTTAAATATAGTTATTTTAGTTTGCTAAAAAATTTTCGGCAACTTTTCTCCCGTGGTCTGATTTTGACTCTGGCAAACAATGGCTTCTTCAGCACCAGTTTGGCCAGCTTTCGCCTCTAGTGACATCATTTACAATCTTGATGAGACTAGATAGCTTGTTACTGGATTTTCCGGTTATATTTTGATTTCATTTTTTGGTGTGTTAATGGATTCTTGGTTTTCGGATTGTTATCTTTGGTTCTTTGAGGTCAGATCTTTAGATCTGATAGTTTTCAGTCATTCCCCTCGTCTCAGGGTTGACTCATCTTCATGCTAACTTTAAAGATGATTGTTGTTGATTTCTCGATTGGTAGCTATTGGATAGTTTATGTTGCGGTTGCTTCAGTTGAAGGAAATGTTTTCCTAATCTTTGGAAGCAGTTGTCTGGGTTTTGTTCTTGATCGTCGCGGTGTTTTGTCGCATGCTCTTTTGTCGATGAGATTGGTCTCAAGCTGAATTAGAGTCCGACATCAATCTCTCAGTTTTCGGAGGTTTGAAAGAGGCTTTTGCTTTCCTTGCTGCGTGTTCATAAAAGTGGTCATCACAGTTGTGGTTGATTCACTTTTTTCTACTATTGGATCCTTTTTAGATTTTTTATCTTGTTGTTTTTAGGGTTTCTTTGTCAAATAATTTACAAAAATATAAGTTAAATTTGTAGAAAGAAGTTAGAGAGAGATAGAAAGAAAAAAAATAGAAGAGATGAATGAATTTTGGTTAATTCATACATTTGTCTTTTTTTATGGTTAGTTGGTCTAATTTTTCTTGTTTTTTACCGTATCTATTGGGGAAAGTTGTTGATTCCCCCCATGAACTAATTGTTCCCGGATTTTTCATACACAAATTTTTTTCTCATGTCAAAACTTACACGACCAACTCCATTTTTTAAATTTCATACATGAATTTTTATCCCACGAAGAAACCCACACGAACAACTCTGTTTTTGAATTTCATACACAAACTATCAATTTCCACAAAACCATAAGTGGTGTTAATATTCGTTAACAAGTGAAGAATCAGTTTAATTTGAGTTAAATAAAATGAATACAACGTCATTATGGCTTATTTTGGATCGTTTAAAGGTTTATAATGTGATGTTTTTTTTAATAAGAAAACGAATACGACGTCGTTGGTCTGTGTTGTGAAACCAAAGATGAAACCTAATTACCAATTTAAGAAGAAGAACAAAACGACGTGGTTCTTTATTTTGTTTAATGAGAAATTACACTAAAACAATGTCGTATTCATTAAATCCAAATTAAACCAGCTCTCCACTTGTTAACGGATACTAACACCTTTTATGGTTTTGTGGAGTTAGTTTAGAATTGATAATTCGTGTAAGAAATTCCAAAAAAAAATAGAATTGTTTGTGTGAGTTTCGGCATGTGTTAAAAGTTCGTGTATGAAATTCAAAAAATGAAGTTTTTCATGTGGATTTCAGCATGGACTAAAATTTTGTGTATGAAAAAGCTGGGGACAATTAGTTCATGGGAGAATTGACCATTTTTCGTATCTATTGTGATTGTTTGTATATTTGGAATTATGTTTAATAAAATACCAGTTGTGAAAGAAAAATATATATCTTATTAAAACATAAACATTAGGTTGGATATAACATTTATTTTGTAAGTTTTTAAATTAAATACATCTTTTTACTTTATAATTAAACATAAATTAAATCATTAATATTTTTTCTTTATACTACTATCCATGTTTCCAAACAGTATATTTATTTCCTTATACTGCTATATATGTTTCCAAACAATATATATCTTATTAAAAAAAAATTAGATTGGACCTAACATTTATTTTGAAAGCTTTAAATTAAATACATCTTTCTACTTTATTAAACATATATTAAATCCTCTATATATTAATCTTAGAGCATTACAACATATTTTTGTAGACACGTGGCATCACGAATACAATTCTTAGAATCCTTAGAAAATAAGTTAGTCCATATAATTATATAATATATTTTTTACTAAATAAACATCAAATTAACTATTAGTGAACAAAATAATATTCTTTCTTTCCTTAAATAAAGCTACGGAATTATCTAATATAATTAACATATATATGATAATTAATGATTATGAATAATACATATTCAATAACAATTTTTGTATCCTTTCTCTTCTTTGTTTAATTTTATATTACTAAAAATAATTAAACAATCAGATCAAACATACAATAAACAAATTAGATTTTTTCTTATATGTTATATTAAGAATTTTTTGAAACGAGTATAAGTTACTAAAGATGGTAAAAGTCTTACACTGAAAGTTTTTGGTCAATGGTTTAACTTTTTTTGTTCAATCAAGATACAAATGATCATAAATAGTATGAATATGAATTCTCATAATAAATATTCATATTATATATATATATATATCAATATCATTTAAATTAAATTATGTACTATATAAAATATACAAATATGTTAATTTCAAAATTTACAATGAAATTTTTTGGAGATCTTAATATTTTAATTTTGAAATTCGTATTGGAACAATCTCATATTAACTTTCTTGTGATTTATTCAAATACTTGCTAGAGCAAATTATACAAATGTTCATAAAATTATATGAGTAGGAAGTTTCAAAAACAAATATATATTAAAATAGACTATATATGTCAATATCAATAACATTTAATTATATACCATATAAAGTAAATAAAATGGTTGTTTTGATTTATTTACCAAAAATATGATTGTAAATTAAAAAAAATGTATTAGTTTTGATTTATATGTTTACGCTAATATATATACTTTTATGTAAATTAATTAATTTTTAAATAGGCAATTTCCAATATGTTATTTGATCTTGACAATCCGAGAACTATACTTCTTCAAATCGAAGTAGTTTATTGTTGGAATCACTATATGTATTTATATATTATTTCATTTAAATTAAATAATTTAGTATTGATAATTATCCCTAAAAAACTTTTAATGAAATATCATGACAAGATTCTAATCACCTTCTTTTGAGTTTGTTCGAAGAATGAAGATTTGATCATTCATCTAATATTTTTTTTCCATAATACTCAATCTAGCTATTATAATTTATCCGAACAAGCTTATTATGATCTTAGTACTTTGGAATTTGGTTATAATCCAAACCGAATCGAATTCTGAACTAGATCTAAAGATAATTGAAATTAGTATAATATGTTAATGTTTTTATATGTCAAGGTAATTTAGATATTTTATTGTATTTGAAAGATTTTTGTACTGTGTTAATTTTTTATTTTGAATATTCTTTAATTAGTTTAGATATTTTAACTAATTTTAAATTAGATATACGAATAGTATAAATATTTTGACATTGTTTAGTCAATTTTGAGGTTTCAAATATTTTTTGAGATGGTTTCAGATTTTGGTTACAATCTGATCGAAACTGAGTCCGAAAATAATCTAATTGAATCCAGAAAGAATCAAACCAAATCTGATCCAATAATTAATAAAACCCGAATGAAACTGAAGAGCATAATACCGAAAATATGAAAATCTGAATCAATCGAACTGAAACCGACAGATCCCAAACACCCAAACATATGATATATTTAAGAGACCAACATTTGTATTCGTCATTTTACAATCAATAAAGATTATAGTGTTACAAAATGTTAAAACCGAACAAATATTAATATAAAAAACTTATGTCGCGCATACACGCGGGTATTATCTAGTATAATTTATTATGCATTCAACATATATTTATGGTAAGAAAGAGAAGAGAGCTGTGTAGATAAACTTTATATTATAACTAAAATATTAATTAATCATTTGGTAAACCATCGCACTAAATATTATGTATAAAAATAATTTATATGATTTTCTAAATATTCTGAACCGAGTTAGATAATTATGCTGGTCCTGCTGGATTGAGAGACCATCATTACTCTTTTGATAAAAAGATATTTTGGGTGTCGGACCAATCATAGGAGATATTTTATACAACCTTATCTTAAATTCTGAATATACAGAAAATCAAATTAACGGCGCTGAATCTATGGGCCATATTAATAATTCATTTTTCCTTTTCTCTTTCTCTATTAAAAATAAAATAAAATATCTGAAGCCTTATCCACTTCACTCTTTTGCATAATCTCGAGCTTTAAAAACCAACCTTCTTTCTTGCTAGTTGCTAATAATAATAATATCTTTCAGTGAAGATGATAAAGTCAGCTACTCTTCGTTCATTTCCTCTCCCTACAGAGTTTCACGGCAAGCCTAAGTTCGTCGAACCGTCGAAGTCTTGTTTTGCGGTGGTCAGGTGTTTGAACACGAGAGACGTTCCTAAGCTTGAGCTCTTTAGCCGTGGAAAATTCGACCGTATTCTTCAAGATCCGCCATTAATCGAAAAGGCAGGGACCGAACTCTCAGGTACTAAGAAAACATTTCTTGTTCTGTTTTTGGATGTGTGTTAAGGAAATATCTTGTTCTGTTTTTAGATGTTTGAAATATGTTTGTTTGTTTGGTTTCAGAGTACTGTTCCACACTTGAAGGTGATGACTCTTACAGCTGCTGGAGAGCTTACTTTGAACTCAAAGACCTTGAGAAAGAGAAGCCGAAGGTGGAAGTTGAGAATCTAATCTTGCAAACAGGCGGTGTGAAATCGCTAATCGGGTGTTTACATGGACTTGCTTCAATGGAGAAGGAAAGCAAAACCAAGAATGGTTTAGAATTTACAGAGGAATCAGATTCAGATAAGATGAAACTGCACGTTCATGTTCCTGATGGTTTGCCAAAATCTCAAGAAGAATTGGAAGAAGAAGAGAAATCAAGAATGCCAGATTCTGCTTTCACAAGATTGCTTAGAGCCAAAGGAACCATCCCTGCTTGGTTCTCTCACGCTCCGGACCACGAAACAGACTGAAGAATCCATGTCATGCAGTTTTACTTCTATGTACATATAGCAACAAGTGGTTCCTTGATATTGCTTTACAACAAATAATCATTGTACTATCTCTTCATGCTGTATAATATGGTTGTCAATGTGTGATGGATGATCTCGAATGGTTGATGACAAAGTTGTTTCCAAGCCGTGTGCTTATTTTAGTACCTTGTTTTGGTTACGGAGAGATTTCTATTCTTGATAATGTTCTGTCTCCGAATGTTAAGCAAAATCTTTCAAAAACAAAACAAGAGTCTTCTAAATATAGGACAAAAACTGTTGGTGATGCAAAATGAAAAATCGTTTTGGTATTTATTAATACTAACCTTTTGGTGTCTCCATACTTCCATGCCCATATCTATAAGCAGCCTTGGGTGTTTTCCAAGGTTTTGATCAAAGCCATGACTAAACCTCCTCCATTTTCTCTCACGGCCTTTGGCTGTGTCCTATTCTTCTTCTTATCCTCCTCTGTTGTTTTAGCACTCACCGACGCAGAAGCCTCATTCATTGCGCACCGACAGCTATTGACATTACCTGAGAACGGCGATCTTCCTGATGATATTGAGTATGAGGTTGATCTCAAGGAGACATTTGCCAACAATAGGCTCAAGAGAGCTTATATAGCTCTCCAAGCATGGAAAAAAGCAGTCTATTCAGACCCGTTTAACACCACCGGAAACTGGCATGGTCCGCACGTATGCCGCTACACAGGCGTGTTTTGTGCACCAGCTCTTGATGATCCTAACGTCGCGGTTGTGGCCGGTGTAGATCTTAATGGTGCAGATATTGCAGGGCATTTACCTGTTGAGCTTGGTTTGATGACGGATGTGGCCATGTTTCATTTGAATTCGAACCGGTTTTGTGGTATCATACCCAAGAGTCTCGATAGGTTGAAGTTAATGTATGAGTTCGATGTCAGCAACAACCGTTTTGTCGGACCTTTCCCTTCAGTTGTTCTTTCGTGGCCGGCTGTTAAATTCATCGACCTAAGATTCAATGATTTCGAAGGTCAAGTCCCCCCTCAGCTTTTCAAGAAGGATCTCGATGCCATTTTCTTGAACAACAATAGATTCACTTCCACCATTCCTGAGTCTCTTGGAGAATCCTCAGCTTCGGTGGTGACCTTTGCTCACAACAAATTCAATGGTTGTGTCCCTAAAAGTATAGGAAACATGAAGAATCTTAACGAAATCATATTTAAGGACAACCATCTTGGAGGCTGTTTCCCATCAGAGATCGGAAAGCTAGCCAATGTGAACGTTTTTGATGCTAGCATGAACTCATTCACAGGTGTTCTACCGCAGAGCTTTGTTGGGCTTACTGGTGTCGAAGAGATCGATATCTCTGGAAATAAACTCACTGGGTTTGTGCCTGAGAATATCTGCAGGTTGCCTAAGTTGGTTAACTTGACGTACGCCTACAATTACTTCAATGGACAAGGTGATTCGTGTGTCCCAGGTAGTCAGAAGGAGATTGCATTGGACGATACACATAACTGTTTGCCAGATAGGCCTAAACAACGGTCGGCCAAGGAATGTGCGGTCGTGATTAGTCGTCCCGTTGATTGTAGCAAGGACAAGTGTGCTGGTGGAGGTTATAGCCCCTCTACACCATCGAAGTCCAAGTCACCATCACCGGTGCCATCTCGGCCAGTACATAATCCACAACCACCGAAAGAGTCACCAAAACCAAATGACCCATCTGACCAGTCTCCTGTGATGTTCAGGCGCAGCCCGCCTCCCCCACAGCCACATCACCCGGTGGTTTCTCCTCCGTCCCATATTCAGTCTCCACTGCCTCCGGTATATTCTCAACCACCGCCACCAATCCATTCACCACCACCACCGGTACATTCTCCTCCACCACCAGTCCACTCACCACCACCGCCTGCACCAGTCCACTCGCCACCACCACCTGCACCAGTCCATTCACCACCACCACCTGTTCATTCTCCACCACCACCACCACCTGTCTATTCTCCACCACCACCTGTCCATTCACCCCCACCACCAGTGCATTCACCTCCATCACCTGTTCAGAAACCACAACCTTGGAAAGAGTCACCACAACCAAATGATCCATACGATCAATCTCCCGTTAAGTTCCGACGCAGCCCACCTCCGCCACATCAATCACATCCCCCGATGGTTTCTCCTCCGCTTCCAGTTTATTCTCCACAGCCACCTGTTCATTCACCACCACCCACACAACCAGTGTATTCACCTCCATCACCGGTTCAGAAACCACAACCTCCAAAAGAGTCACCACAACCAAATGATCCTTATGGTCAATCTCCAGTGAAGTTCCGACGCAGTCCGCCTCCACCACATCAATCACATCCCCCGATGGTTCATTCTCCACCGCCACCGGTATACTCTCCACCTCCTCAACCAGTCCACTCTCCACCACCACCACCAATTCATTCTCCTCCCCCTCCAGTCCCATCACCGCCACCTCCAGTCCCATCACCACCACCTCCGGTACATTCTCCTCCACCACCGGTCCATTCACCTCCACCACCGGTCCATTCACCGCCACCGCCGGCCCATTCTCCTCCACCTCCAGTCCATTCACCTCCGCCACCCGTCCATTCACCACCTCCACCACCAGTCCATTCACCACCTCCACCACCACCAGTATATTCTCCACCGCCACCAGTCCACTCTCCTCCACCACCAGTCTATTCACCTCCACCACCTCCACCGGTATACTCTCCACCACCACCGATATATTCTCCACCACCACCAGTCCACTCTCCTCCACCACCTGTTCTCTCTCCACCGCCACAATCACCAACACCAATTCAATCTCCACCACAAACACCGGTCAACTCTCCTCCCTCACGAACACCGACACAGACCATAGAAGCACCACCTCAAAGTGATGAATTCATCATACCACCATTTGTTGGTCACCAATATGCATCACCACCACCTCCAATGTTTCCGGGCTATTAAAATTAGAGAGATATAAGTCTATGTTATGAATCGCGTCTTGAGACAAAAAAAAATCATAAAACTTGAGGAAGACAAAAGAAGTAAAAATGTTTGGCAATGTATCGAAGTAGCATTAACTCCTTACAAGGAGTCATATGAAGTTTGTGTAGTAACAATTAACATCTTTTTTTTTGGTCTATGAAAGATTTTACATTTTGAAATAGTAGAAGTTGTCATGCTTCTTTTCTTGTGCTGTTAACCCGTTTCACGATGATGGTTTCTAAGAATTTACACTTTCCAATCTCGATCTTGGGTGAACTGAAAATTAATGTATCCATTGACCATGATCTGCAGAATGGGAGGTTACCAGGGCGGATATATCTGTTTTTTCAGAGGTATTTTTGATCTGATATGTTTTTTCCAAATAATCAATTATCCGATTCGATATATAGTTATCCGGATATTTGTTGTCCATATATCTGGAAAATTTATATTTTAAATCAGGTTCAATCGTACAAATAAAATTAAAATTAAAATTAATAAAATTCAATAATAATTAAAATAATAATATTTCATTACAATAAATTATATAACTTTCAAACTTTAGTAACTAAAAAAATTAATTTAACAAATAAAAGTATTTTAAAACTTAAATAAAATAGAATTTATACACAATTATTTAAATATATGTATATAACAAATCGGATCAGATGTCCATTCATAAAAATATTTGTATTTATGATATATTCCATTTCATACGGATATTGCATATTAGCATTTGATTTCCTTTGTACAGTTACGAATCTATGGATTTTTTTTGTTCGAATCAAAACATATTATAATAAATAAATTTAAAATTTATGGATATTTTGCTATGTTCTAGTTACCCGGCAGCGTGTAGCTTAAATTTTAGTCTCAATTTCGATAATGACAAAGTTATGTTTGAAAAAAGTTGTCAAGAGTTTTTCATATATTATTTCTAAAAAAATCCAAATGCCAAAAAAAGCAGACAAGTTAAAATGCATTGCTGGGAGTCATCCTACATTAATAGTTTGAAAGTTTAGTAGAATAACATTGATCTTTCTCTATAATATTATTTGTTGATCTTTCTCTATAATATTATTTGAGAAATTAATTTCTTTACGTCAATTCTTAAATGGTTACTTACAATCATATCCTTAATGAATTAAAATATATTGAATTTTCTTATTAAATTTCTTTTTGATAATATTTGTTATTTTGATTTTTGATTTTAACCTCTTTTTTGTTATACTGGTGTATATATATATCTGTGTGTGTGTGTGTATTATATATATATATATATATATACATATTGAAAATTATATCAATATTAGGGTCGGTCCTCCCTACGGGCGGGATATGATTTTTGTATGATGTATAGGTCTATATTATTGTATATTTTTTTTTGCGTAATTTATGTTAGGATTTGAAAAAAAAAAAGTATAATAATATGTATAGATGTTGAGCTGTTTGGGCATGGAGAAAATATGTTTTAGCTCGTATTGATAGTGTGTTCGATTTGATTTTGAACTAATATGTATAATGTTGTTTACTTGACAAAATGATATGTGTGAGGAAATGATTACCGGAGGTCAACTGCGTGAAAAATTAGTTGTGATGTGAGTGAGGTTGTATGCTTTCATTTTGTGTTTGTTTAATTGTTTTGCTAAAATGATTTAGTACAATCTATTCTGAAAAAGTTGAATATTATATAATACGGGTGTAATATTTTTATGTGAGTACAGTTTCAATTAGAAAAAAATGGTCAGCTAATATTATATAATAACAACTCTGTAAGCTTTTATTTTGTGGTTGTTTAATTGCTTTGTTAAAATAATTTAGTTTATGGCTAACTGTTAATATTTTTATAGAAATAATAAATGAAATACTTTTTTACAGTGGCATTAAAAACATAAGTATAATAAATATGATATTTTAATAGTCTCATAAAATATATTAACCTTTTTATATATAAATGTTTTGTAATAATTATATATTATGCTTTACATTGTGGAAAAAGATACATATATGAATATTTAATAGTAATATCTCATGTTTAACTCATAATTATCTTTCCAAGCTGAAAAGTGAATTTATTTTGTTACTTTGATTCTCTAATGAATCATAAACCAAAGGATTTTATATAATAGATCATAAACCAAAGAATTACTTTGAATCTCTAATGGATTATATTTAAAAATATAATTATACTGATCGTCGGGTTATAACTCTAATTTATAATAATAACTAAGTTTATTTTTAATAAATTTTAATGAGTTTTCAGAATTGTTGTGTTTGTGAAAATATATATATATTTAACCTATTTTTGTTTGTATTTAAAACCATCTATTTGAAAAATGTAACTCTAATTGGTAAAAATATCATATTCTAATAATTATACTTGAGCATTACAAAACTTGTTGGGTAGACGATCTATTTACCCATGAGAACTATCATATAACATCAGATCTCCATCGAACTATGACCTCATGCTAGATCTCCATGAATTGAAAACTGCAAACCTATTTGTCCTCAAATTGAAAATTGCAAACCTATTTCTCCCCGAATCAATACTTCAAAACTTAATTAACCACAGACGATGGTTTTAATTGGTTTATTCTTAACCAAACATCTTAAAATCAAGTAAACCAAAATAAAATCCAACTAAATAAAACAAAATCTTCTTCTGTTGTAAAATAAATCCATTAAAATGTTTACATAATAATGTTTACGGTGATTTAGACGGGGATTTAATTAGATTTTGATTTGGTTTACTTGATTTTAAGATGTTTGGTTAATAATAAACCAACTAAAACCAATTAAAACCATCGTCTGTGGGTAATTAAGTTTTGAAGTATTGATTCGGAGAGAAATAAGTTGGCAATTTTCAATTTATGGGAATCTAACATGAGGTCATAGTTCGGTGGGGATCTGATGCTATATGATAGTTCTCGTGGGTAAATAGATCGTCTACCCAAACTTGTTCTATATATTTGGACGTCGGTTTATAACGTATATGCGCCGGAATTTTAAAATATTTTAATACATAGTTTATATATTAATGTATTTCATTGAATTAACAAAATTTTAATGTCAGTAGAAAATATTTATCAAAATTTTTTTTTAAAAAAAAATATGTTTAATTTGTACATCATATTCAGGAGAAACCATGGTTACTAAAATTTTAAAATATGCATGAAAATCGTATAAATTTTCACATTAAAATATTTTGTAACTTTAGATTTTAGTTTCTGTGTGTTGAGACTTTGTAATAATTGACTTTGTAAGACTTATGTTTTGGAAGTGGTCAGTCAAAACAATAATATTTTTCAAAATCACCAATACTCTATAATTGTGTATTATAAAATATATTAGATTTTTAGAAGGATGTGTTTTCTATTATAAGGCATCTAAAATTTTAAAATCAAATGTGGTCTATATGTGGGTTGTTACTGGATGGTTATCAATATATATAAACAATTGAGAATTGTATTTAACCACCACACAGTTTGTAACACTTGTTTATCTAATGGTGGATTGTTTTATGCTACACACTTGTTTGTCTAATGATATATGTGAGTTTACGATTTATATTGTAAATGGTGATCTTGATTTGGAGCCGGTGTATGTAGTAATGGGGAAGCATGACTACTTCTTCGTCTATCATGTTATCTCTGAGAAGTTAATGAATTTTGTGGTTCGGTTTTTTAGTTTGAATCTTACCATTCTTATTTTTTTGGACAACATTCCTAGTGTATTTTTAACTCGTTACTATATTTTCAAGTAGCCGTTACCTTCTCTATATTGTTAAGTCGATGTGATGAAGATTTATTCAATAAAGCTCAAGTTAAAAATATGATATTATTTTTTAACTTTGTTACAAACATTCCTAGTGCCTTTTTATTTTGTTTTACTTCAGGGAAAATGGCCTTTTTATTCCCAAACTATTTTGAATCAGCAATTTTAATCCCCATCTATTAGTTGCACAAATTTAATCCTCATCTCAGAATTGACTGTGCAAATTTAGAATACAAAAGTCAACTGTTAACTTTTAATTAAACATCGTTAAATATATAAACTAAACGTGGTCGCGTTTTTTATTAAACTCATAAAGCCCCAAATTAAATAAACCCTAATTTACGATCACTCACTAATTGACTCCTCTCCTCTGCGTTTGACCACGAGAATCCGGCGAGAACTCATACGTGATGGTGAAGGAGTGCGATTATCAGTGACAAAGAGAAAGCTAAAGTGGTAGAAGGAGTGACGAGAATGGATGAAGAGCAAAGGGCTGAAAAAGAAACTACGACTTTGGGTGAAGAAGAAGTAACAACTTTGGCTGAAGAAGAAGTCATGACTACGGACGAGGAAGAGAGAGTTAATGTTGGTGAAGGAGAGAAGACTCTCGGAGAGAAAGATGCTGGTGATAAACATTGGAATGAAGAAAGAAGTGTTGAATCTGATGAAAATCCTTCACTTGAGGGAGATGATTGTGAAGTTATAGTTGAAGATAGAGCTGGTTATAAGGAGTATGATCCAGTTCTGCGATCAGATGAGAACGAGTTTGTCGATGTAGAAGTTGGTGTGGCAAATGATATTCTGCTCATTTTGGAGAAGCAGCACGAGAAGATGGAACTACAAATACAAACGATGATGGTTATGACGATAGCGGAGATGATATTTGGAATGATAATCACATTCCCGATCTGTTATCAGATGATGATCGTGATGAGGAAGAAGAAAGTAGGCAATTCAACTATGGTCCTGATGAAATTTTAGCTTTGGGAAAGACATTTAATAACGCAGAAGAATTCAAGTATGCTGTTCTCAAGTACTCTCTAAAGACTCAGTATGATATCAAATTCTACAAGTCATCTGCGGATAGGCTTGGTGCACAATGCACAAAACATGATGAAGAGAAGTGTCCTTGGAGAGTGTACTGCTCCTTTGAGAGAGCCAGAAACAAGTTGCTGGTGAAAGTATTCATCAATACACATAATTGTGTAAGATCAGGTTACACAAAGCTTCTGAAGAGTGGGACTATTGCACAACTTTATGAGGAGAGGCTTAGAATTAATCCCAAGATCAGGTCGGTTGAGATGGTTTCTGAGATAAAGCGAGAGTATAATATGATTGTGGGCGAGGAGCAATGTCGGAGAGCTAAGTATCTACTTTCAGCGAAAAGGAAGGCTAGACATGAAGCTCATTTTGCTAGGCTTTGGGATTATCAAGAAGAGATACGTAATTCAAATGTGGGATCAACAATGGAGGTTGAGACAGTTCCCGGACCAGTACCTGGAAGCAAGCAAAGATTCTATCGACTATATGTTTGTTTCAAAGCTCTGAAATCATCTTGGAAGCAGGTATGTAGACCCATTATTGGATTGGATGCTGCTTTTATGAAATGGGATATCAAAGGGCAAATGCTAGCTGCAGTTGGTAGAGATGGAGATAATAGGATATTTCCTATAGCTTGGGCTGTGGTTGAAGTTGAGAATAACCCTAACTGGCTATGGTTTGTGCAACTTCTGAAAAAGGATTTGAGCCTTGAAGATGGAGCCGATATCACAATAATCTCAGATAAACATAAGGTGAGTTTCAGTTTGTGCTTACTAGTTGTATATGGTTTGTGCTTTCTTTTGTGTTAATACTAATTTCTTGACAGGGCATACTAAATGCGGTTCATTTAGAACTTCCTAAAGCTGAGCATAGAATGTGTGCTCGACACGTTCTGGAAAATTGGAAGAAGACAAACAAAGACATTGAGCTTGAGCGTCTGTTCTGGAAAATAGCAATAAGCTACACACCAGCATCGTTTAGGGACCATTTAGATGCATTGAAGAAGTATAATGAAGGGGCGTATAACTCTCTTCAATGTACTGGTCCATCAACTTGGTCTCGGGCATTCTTCAAGCTTGGTTCGTGCTGCAACGACAACCTCAACAACCTTTCAGAGTCATTCAACAGAAGTGTTAGAGAGTCAAGGAGGAAGCCACTTCTTGATATGCTAACAGAGGTAAGGCGAAAAACTATGGTAAGAAATGCAAAGAGAACTATTTTGACTAATAGGTGGAACAAACGGTTCACACCAAGAGCTGATAAGGAGATTGAGCTTAACAGGCAAAAAGCTCGAGATTGCATTAGATATATGACCACAGGGCATATGCATGAGATAGAGTATCATGATGATGCTTACAAAGTGAACATGGAGGACAAGACATGTGGTTGTGGCTATTGGCAATTGAATGGACTGCCTTGTATGCATGCTATGTGTGTAATCACAACAACAAGGTTAGACCTCAATGACTATGTATCTGAATATTACTTGACTTCCAAATGGCGCCAACTGTATGCTAGTGGTGTGAAACCTGTCCAAGGCATGAAACTATGGCCACGGTTAGGACGGCTACCTATTCTACCGCCGCCTTCAAGATTCAACAGAGGAAGACCTAATGGGTATGCTAGAAAGAAAGGTCCTCATGAGTCATCTTCTAATCCAAACAAGCTAACAAGACATGGTCGTATGGGAACATGTTCAAATTGCCGCAAAGAAGGTCACAACAAGACCAGATGTCCTAATCCAAAAGTTGGTCCTCCGCCTAAGCGACCTAGAGGACGTCCAAGGAAAGAACAGGTTTGTAATTGCTATTTCGTCATTGCTTAATTTGGGTTGTTCACTGTTGTTTGTTGGCTGTAGGAAGACTCTACACAGCTTGGAGAAAGAGCTTCTCAAAGATCATCACAAGTCCAAGATTCTCAAGCATCACAAGGATTTGGTTTCTCTTGTTAACTTGTGTTCTTCAATATTTTGTAAAACATGAATCTGGTTTTGTTTGGATTTCATGTCTTCTCTATGTTGGTTGTGTGAAACATGAATCTCTTTGTGTTAGGATTTTATGTCTCGCTGTGAACAAAATTATTTATTTTATGTCTTCTCTATGTTGGCAGAGTATTATTTAGAGAAATAAACAGAAGAAGTTGCAAGAATAAACACTCAAATCGAAACGTTAAATAAAGAAACATTACCAAACACTATGAGCGGTTGCTAAATTGGTCCCATATATGTTACTAAATTCGTGAGCCCACTCCATGACCAGTTAAAAGGAAGATCGATAGGCTCTCCACAATAATCATCCTTAAAATTAGTGTAAAGCATAGGTCAGTCAATGCAACGTCTCTGCGTTCACAATAACATTATTTGATGATAGATGGGTGGTAGTGTGTAACTTACTTTATTATCACAAAGAGATTTTCTGAAAACTTCAAGGCTTTTTAGAATACAATAAAATTGGAGAACAACACCAGAGGACCCAACTCCATCACTGCTCTCTTTCTCTCTCCACAGCTCTAGAACCGGAGGGAGTTCCCATTTGAAATACGGGCAACACATCAGCTCATATATAGATGGACACTCAATAAGTTGAAACAACAGGGGAAATTTGCATCAATAAATCCATAGAAGATATTAAACATACAAGATATATATATATATATATATATATATATATATATATATATATAACCCGAAGGGATGATTGTTACCAGTTGAGAAGAAAAAGTTCTGTTCCCAGCCATTAACAAATGACATTCCATGTTCAGTAGAGTTGATGTGATATATGCAGGAGCACGTGAATCAATAACAATTTCCAAACTTGTTTCAGATTCTTTAGTTGGCAAATTAAAATTTGAGACATGAGAGTTCGCAGTTTCTCGTTGACAATAATTTTGATGGCTTTCTGAATCTACTAATCAAAAACGCGATCACGTTTAATTTACAATTAACGGTGTTTAACCAAGAGTTAACAGTTGACTTCTTTTTATTCAAATTTTCGCAGTCAATGACAAGATGAGGACTTAATTTGCGCAGCCAATAGATGAGGATTAAACTTGCTGATTTGAGATAGTTTGGGAATAAAAAGACCATTTTCCCTTTTACTTCATGACGTATTGAAGCTTTCTTTCTCTACAAGAAACCAATTTATTAAAGTTTGGCTCTTGTGAACTTTTTGTTGCAGTGACAGGAGTTGAAATTCTCTCATGATTAACAACCACCTTCCCAGCTTACACTGGTCCGATCCCATTGTCGTGAAAGACTTCAGATCCTGGCCACGCTCCTGGACTATCATAACATTTTTTTATTGATTGAGACCTAAGATAGAGGAACCAGAAGCAACATGCCATGTATGTAAAAATACAAGGATGTAGCTGTGTCGACAATGCCAATGATGACTTCTTCACACATGTTAATTAGTGTCTTTTAGAAGATTTTTCGAGATTGGCGGCAGAAAGGGCTTAGTAGTCCCAAGTCCGAGTGATTGTCAGTTCATATAAACTATCAGGTGTGACATGAACAACCTGAGGTAAATCTGTTGGCACAGAGCATTAGCAATGAGAAACATATCAGATGTGTTTGAGAGAAATGACGATGTCATGTAAATGTATGACTTAGGTGTTTGTTTTCAAGAAAGCCAAGAATATATGAGACAAAGTACCTGCTACTTGCTTGGCTTGGAACTTGGTAAGCATCACTGCAAAACCTGAGAAGCCATGCCATGTCCGTAGCTCTACAACATTGAATCATGAGCACCCCTTTTTACTATAATCATAGGAACAAAATTTTCATGAATCTGAGTAACAGTTGAGACATTAATGTAAACTTGGATAAGAGAAACTACTCTTACATACCTTCCAAGAAGTGACCACAAGATCTGATGATGGGATTCCGTGAAAAACTCAGGATCATCATGTTCCCTTCACCAAAATACACTATATGACCCTATTATTGTTATAACAACAGAACCAACTTTGTTAGTCTATTGGTGTCAGGTTATGTAACTGGTCAAAATATAATAATAGTCATTGTCGAGTACCTTTCTGTCAGCACCAGCTCTAACCATGAAACTTCTCTCTCCATTGACATTTATTAGCAGAGTTAGCACCACAAAATTCTGAAACTATTCATTCCAAGCATAAGAAAGAATCTCATTTCAATCTCAAGCCACAATTATATAGATGTCTTCTCTAGAAGAGTAACTCCGTAGTCTCTTATTCGTTTTCTATTGGTTATTTTTTTTTATGTAAAAAATGGTAAGAGTAGTAAAAATTGTCTTTTCCACAAGCTGTAAAAATAAATAGCGAGAAGCAACAGTTGTTCAGAACAGATGGTAGTAAGATGGATATTATGTAGAAGATAAAGAACTTGCAGTTGGTCCTGAATTGCGGAACCAAGAATCGTTCATACTCATCTCAACAACTCTGATATTCTTTGGAAGTTGTTTCCTTGCATTTTCCCACTAAATTCATGGCCCAGAGAACTGTTTTATGTACCAAATATGATGATTCTAAACATACCTGAGCGGGCTTGCACGGACTGTCACAAATTTGATTTTTAAGATAGCCTCTGCAATATCTACGAACACTCCCTCTGAAGGTAAAGTGTTGTGCAGCCAATTGTCCTGTCGTTCCTGCAGAAAGTTATGTCAGAGCAAACCCAAATCCAAAATCATAAAAGCATGTTTGAGGTTTTCACAAAAGATATCTTTGAAATTAAGACTAACACTGTTTTATTTATGCGATCAGAGGTCATAGGCTTAGCATAATAACATGCTCAGAAATATTTTTTTGTAATATTCTAAATAGAATGACGAATATCGATGTTACTCACATTGAACCCGTCTTGCTACGTTCCCTGAAAGTCGCCTGGAACACATTGAGAAGTAGAATCAGTTAAAAAACACAATTAAAGTTATCTACGAAGAATAAACAAAAAAAAAATTATCTCCGAAAGAGTTATAATAAACAGTAGGATACAAATTGTTGAAAACTTTATGATTATACACCAGATACGGTGTTCACGATTTTGAAGAATGGAATACCTTAGAGTCAAGTAACCGCATATCGATGATTGTGAGGATGATTCTGATGAGATGAGGGCTTCTTGTTTTATAGTGAAGATCCACCGCTTGAAAGAGGGATAAGAACCATTGAATGTGTAATCGTGGATTCAGTGGGTCGAAATAGTTAAGACTTTGTTAATGACCATGAATCAATGCAAGATTTAACGCCTAAGACAAGATGAATCAAGAACACAAAGAACAAAAACGCCATAGACATAATGATTACTGACGATGATTCGTATCTCTAAGATTTTCAAAGCCTTCATCAACATTAAACCTAAACAGATCACTGGAGACAACGAACTCTATAAAAAAATTGTGAGCTTCGCATCATTTAACGGCCTAAGGTTTTATTATTTTGACCCAATATCTTCTCAGATCCACAAATTCATAACTTGTGTAAAAGCCCATACGAAACCAAACAGAACCGAGTTATTATTGTATGAGGAAGACATGTGTCATTTCCTCCTTCTTGTAATTAATGACATGTCTTATTAAGAAGAGAAAAAACTATCTTTTATATAATAAGAAGATTGACTTTATATATATATATATATATACTAGGTGACCGGCGCGCACCCTGTGCGGGTATATACAGATTCAAATTATGGACTTAGTAATACAAAGTTTTAGAAGTGATTTTATATCATAAGACCACCGTCTTTGAGGTAAAGCATCAGGCACGGAAAAATGCTAGTACACAATATTTTACATGGAGGAGATGGAACAAAGTAACTTCAGTATCAATAGGTAGTTATTGTGTGTATTTATAATTGCAACCTCACAAAAAAATTGTGTGTTGAAGGTTGAATTTTATTTTCCAAATCTGAAATTAATAGTGTGTAGTTTTATAGATAACATATTTTCTATTATCACTAATTAGAATTGTATTGTATATGAAAAATATTATTATGCATAAATTTTTCGTAAAATGTATGTAGACAGATTAAAAGAAATGTTACACATATCCCTCTCTCTCTCTCTCTCTCTCTCTCTCTCTCTCTCTCTCTCTCTCTCTCTCTTTCTCTCTCTCTCTCTCTCTCTCTCTCTCTCTCTCTCTCTCTATTCTGATTTTGGGACAATGGAATTTAATTAGGTCATTAAAGATTAGTACATTTGATACATCAATTCACTTTTTGTTTCAGTGATCTAATAAAAGTTATAAGACAATACTATGAAAAAGAAGATGTAATAAAACTAAAGAACTTATACGACAATAATGAGAAAATGCTTTTATTATTAATTTATAACATTACAATAACACGAATTCCACAAAAGTAAAACAAAAAATTCAATTAATAGAAATTCTAACAAAAACCACAGCTTAACCAGTAGAAGAGTATACTATTGATAACACGTTCTAAACTTAAACAACGTCACTGAGCTTCCGTTCAAAAGCATGATTGATTCAATCTACTCCAAGTCTGAAAGAACATGTAAAAACTTATATTTACCCAAACACAATTTCTAATGACGTTTTCTTTTGATAAAAACATGAGTTTACTTGGTTTATCCGTATTTTTATTTTGGTTGCATAATATATCTTGTGATAGTTTTTTCCAAGTAGCATTCCAAACGTTTTCTGGATTTGTGATACTATGTGTTAGTAATAGGACACAAAACAGCTTGCGTATATCCTTTGCTGATGCCCAATAACATGCTTCTTTAATAACTTCAATATTTTCTTCATCATAGTCCTTGCAGATAACAGAAGAAGTTATTTTTTTCCATATCTCTGTTATAGATTCTCAAAATAGACATTTATATTTTGTTAGTTTTTTTAAGTACACAGGCACATAAGTTATTTTTTCTAAAAAACGTCATTAGATTAAGCTTTGAAGAAAATAAGCAACTTAAAATGTAAACCATAAGAAAATGTAAGATATATATAACAGTGTTGATATGGTTGCACGATAAGTTAGTATCAAATAATATATTCGTATTATTTATTACATTCTTTTTATTGCTATATAATTGTTCTGAATTTAATGCGTTAACATAAATCATTCTTAATTTTTACCAATCAATCTTGTGAATTAAATAAGTAATATAAAATAAGAAGAACAATTATGAATTAAAAATATCCAATAAAAACCTGCAAAAAATTTTCAAATTTTGTTAGCAACTGTACAATATAAAATAATTTAATAGATTTCTAAATTTTATTGAGACAAAAATAATATTAAATTTGTATATCACTATTGAAACAAACGGATAAATGATTTGTAGTTAACTACAACCGGTCTTTCGTCTGTGTTATTTATCTGTTAATAGAAAAAACAAACAAATTTAAGAATTTATAAATTTAAATTTTTTTATCGAATAAAAATAGACTAATAAGTTAGTATTAACATCCCTTAGGTGTCTCCTTTATATATACTCTACCTTCCTTTTTTCTTATGTTATTAGGGAGATATTTTCATAACAAATGATGTTTAGGAATATAATAAATAATAAATAATAAATAATGAAACAGTTCAAAGAAAGATATTAAAGTTATATTGTACATAGGCATATTCAAAATAAGATAAGTTTTTTTAAAACGAATTAACAAATTAGAAACATTAAGGTAAATTGCATTAAAACAATGTAATAAATATGATTTGAAGTTGCACAAGTAATATGTGTTCAAAATAAGTTTATAAAGACGATTAAAAAATTAGAATTATTAAGGTAAATTGAATTCAAAAAATGCAATAAATATAATTTGAAGTTGCACAAGTAATATGTGTTCAAAATAAGATAGGTCATTAATAAACTAAAAACATTAAGGTAAATTAAATTTAAACTATAGATATTTAAATATTAAATGATATATAATAAGGAAATAATAAATATAAAAAGTAGTTGATATAACTTTTTGATTAATAAATATTACTATATATATTTAATTTTAATTAAAAAGATTATATAATTGCAAACCAAAAAAATATATGAATTTTAATTAAAAAGATCATAAAACAAAATCACAATCAGCAAACCAAAGAAATATATATATGTATATATAAGCTTATAATTCTAAACAATAATATAAATCTACTAATCAAAAAAAAAAGTATTGGCAGCACAAAAAGATGCTATTGAAATGATATAGCTGAGAGATGTTATCAAATAGATAATTTTTTTTACCAGATTGAGGAACAAAGATGTTATCGAAATGATATATCAAAGAGGTGTACAATCAAATCATATATAGATTCAGTGAAGAAATCGTCATAATAGGATATCTGCATATAAACCAAAATAAAAATCAGCTCTCATGAAATATAAAAGCTTAATGTTCTAAAATAAGAAGAAGAAAAAATTTTAGAACATTATTAACATAAAAATTTCAGAATACAAAGTTCAATGATTTCATTTCTTATACTGTGAATGTCTTATTTATAGTAAATTGATGGATGTTTCTCAATGATTTAGCTTGCATGATAAGCTAAGAAGTAACATATTCTCTAATAAATTTTCAATAAATCTTATACTTTTAAGGTAATATTATTTTTGTAATATCTTGTTGATAAAGCTAAAAGAGAACATCTCGTGAAATTGCACCAGAATTTTGGTTTAAGTTTTAAATGCATGATTTTAGGAGAGAAAATATATTATCAATTAATTTTGTTTTAAATGCATGATTTTAATAATGAAAATATCTTGTCAATTAATTTTGTTTCTCTGACATCTAAAATATTTAATGAGTATTTAATGAATTAAACAGAGAAAGGATCGCAAAAGGATGTTCTTTGAATTGACAAAACACAAAAGGTAAGTATTTAAATGGATTTCCTTTTTAGTAATGTCGATGGTAAAAATAAATCAAAAAATAAATTCTAAAAAATCAACCAATAGAATCGCTAGAATTCTTCTGAGAAGAGCTGTGTGAGTGCCACATGGCAAATGTACTTCTCTTTTAATATATAGAGGGATATATATATATATATATATATATATATATATATATATATATATATATATATATATATATATATATATCTATAATATTATTTGAGAAGTCACTTTCTTATGTGTCGCGCTCACGTTAACTTTCACGCTGGTTGATTACTATGATACCCCTAATGAAATAAAAAATATATTTAAATATTATTATTTCCTTTTAAATTTTTTCCAAATAACAATATAAAATAAAAGGAAACATTTATAAAGTTTACAAAACTACTTAAAAAGAAAATATAAGTATATATAAATATGGTTTCATAAAAAAAGGAAAGTTCACAAAATAGTAATATTTAATTTAAATATATTTTAAATAACATAAAATATACTTTTGAAGTAATAAAATACTTTATATCTATATCTTTTTAGATGAAAAACAATATTTGTATAAAATGTGATTCCATAAAAAAAGTTCACACAACTAATCTTGATATTAAAAAAAAATATATATATTTTTCTTTAAAAAAATAATTTAAACAATAAATATATATATTTTCAAAGTAATTGTGTTTTTGTATATATCTATCTATTTTATTAGATGATTACATTAAATAATTAAGTAACATAAACTGATATGTGTTTAATTGACAAATTGTTTTTATAATTAGTATTCTTGCGATATATTTTTATTTTTAGTATATTTATTTGACTATAATATCTTACAATTACAGCAAAATTATAAATTCTATTTTTCTTATATAATATAATTTCTCAAAACAATAACATTTTTACTGCATTAATATTTAAGAGATCTTTAAAATAAAACTAAAAATAAATTTTAATAATAAACATCTTTTGATCAAATAAGAAATATTTTAAAATATCATAACACTATCTACTTTAACAAAAAACGAAGTAGATATATTATATTTTAATATTTAAAATTATATGTTTTCTTAATAACTCTTTTGATTTTTAATTTTCTGTTTTTATGTTTGTGGAACTTAATATAACCATAATCAAAATACTTAAGCAATTCAGAATCCTTATTTTTAAAATTATTTAAAATAAATTTCAATTTACCATCCAACCAATCTAAATATTGTAAATACTGA